AACCACGATTGAAATTTATTTTGAGAGAAACATTTTTAAAACTGAAAATACATCCCCCATATAGTAATTCATCCCCCATATAGTAATTCATCCCCCATATAGTAATTAATTCATCCCCCATAGTAATTCATCCCCCATAGTAATTCATCCCCCATATAGTAATACATCCCCCATAGTAATTCATCCCCCATATAGTAATTCATCCCCCCTATAGTATTTCATCCCCCCTATGTAATTCATCCCCCATATAGTAATACATCCCCCATATAGTAATACATCCCCCATATAGTAATTCATCCCCCATATAGTAATTCATCCCCCATAGTAATACATCCCCCATAGTAATTCATCCCCCCTATAGTAATTCATTCCCCCTGTGTCAATTCACTTACCTTTGCTCCGCGCCTTCCTCTAGCTGTGTTCCCGCGCCGTTCTGGTCTTCAGGGCGGACTGTGAGAGGAGAGGAGTTCGTCACGCTGCCCCGCCTACATCCTGACAGCCAATGTTTGGAGGAGGGAGGGGAGCGGGCGCCCGGCACATAGAAGAGCTGCATTAAAAGAGCCGCGGCTTGCCGACCCTATTGCCTGTCACCTGGTGGGCAGTGTGCTCCGGAGCCGCAGGAAAGGTGAAAAAGAGCCGCATGCGGCTCCGGAGCCGCGGGTTGCCGACACCCGTACTAGATGGAGTAGCTGCAGCTGCAGGCATCATCCTGGTATAACCACTCAAAGCCCAATGAAGTACCAGTACATCGCTGGTCCTTGTTGAGTGTATATGCTATGTTCTTTTTTTTTTATGCAGCCTGTGGGCTGAATGAAAAAAAAGAGAAGAAATCTCTGCCAGAAAAAGTGTGTTGTATGCTTACCATTAGAATATACCTCCCTGCATCCACCCACTCCTAATGGTGGGCACACATGAAATGTTCCAACAAATTTTATAAAATATATATGTCGAAGCATAGGGGCCATCCATTCACTGGCAACCCCAGGCCCCCATGCTTCAGCACATATGCTCTTTTTTTAACTGTGGATGAAAAATCTCATTCAACAGTACTGCACACACCTACTTATGTATATTCTGAGAGCAAGACCCTGTTGCTGTCAAAATAAACAAGTCAGTGCTGCAGCTGAATGACATTCCTGCAAAGAAAACAGCAATGGTCAAAAATAAAACAGTAACACAATAAAACAACTTTTTTATTGAAATATCTCTGCCAGAAAAAGTGTGTGGTATGCCCACCATTAGAATATACTTCCCAGCATCCATCCACTTCTAATGGTGGCACAAATGAAATGTGCCAACAAATATTATTACATATATATGCCGAAGCATAGGAGTCATCCACCCACTGGCCACTCCAGGCCCCATGCTTCGGCATATATGCTCTTTTTTTAACTGCGGATGAAAAATCTCATCCAAGAGAGCTGCCCACACTGACTTATGTATATTCTGAGAGCAAGTTCCTGTTGCTGTCAGAATAAACAGGTCAGTGCTGCAGCTTTGCATTCCTGCAAACAAAACAGCAATGCTTAACAATAAAAACAGTAACAATAAAACAAAAAAATTGTAACAGTGAATTGAACAGTAACAACAATGACAACAAAAAAAAAAAAACTATAATTATTTTTGTTGTTTAACATTTTTAATTTTGGGGGGATTTGTACTTTTTTTTTAACTTTAACTTTTTAAAACAGATTGTAGGGCCTCTCCAAATGCGATAGCCAGTTTCCTGACTACCTAACATCTTTTGAGACCCTGTATAATTATGTGCCCTGAATTGTGCCATGCTGTACACTATACTAATACTCCACTAGTGTATGGTAGCGATGGAAGCAGTTCTTCAAGCAGATACCAGGTTGGCCAGATCAGAAAGGACACGTCACGCCTAATTCCATGTCTGCTACAGACACAAACATCTTTTTTGGAGTGCACTTTGGGTTGGGTTACCAGGCATGGCACCAGAAAAAAATGCCTCTCATGCAGCAGGTTAACTGCATCTGGGTCGGGGTTTGAGGCACAGCACCTTCTGGATGCAAAAGGGCCATGATGATCTTTCCTGGAATTTTAGGAAGCATCCACTATATCCAGTTGCTTTGTAAAGCACAAAAGCATTATATAGAGCCAATTTAATTAAATAAACAGACACTTTTTTTGTACCAGCGTCTGGCTTTTCAAGAAAGTATGGCTTCATCATCTGGTCATTGAAGTCCACCCCTCCCATGTTAAGGTTATAGTCGTGGACCCAGAGGGGCTTCTCAACAACACCAGCTGCCATGGTAATTTGGATGGTCATATCTGAATAAATGGAAGACAGGACGAAAACATCCCGTTTGTCCTTCCACTTCACTGTGAGCAATTCTTCATTTCTCAAACAGGCTTTTTTCCCCCTTTCTAAGACGGGTATTTACAAGCCGTTGGGGGAACCTCCAGCGATTAGGCTACTCAGTGCCACATGCGCCAATTCCAAGCTTGTACAAATGTCTAAATAGTGGCACGCTTGAATAAAAATTGTCCGCGTATAAGTGATACCCCATATGGACAAAAGAATGACACCAAGTCCCAAATTTTCTTGCCACTGCTCCCCATGTAGTCTGGGCATCATAATGTATGTATAGCCTGTTGCCCTCTCACAGGTCTTATACATCTTGACCCCATATCTGGCACGCTAGCTGGGGAGAAATTGTTTGAATGCAAGGTAGCCAGAAAAATTAATGAGTGAATCATCAATGCAGATGTTTTGCTGGGGAGTACAGACATCTGCAAACTTTTGGTTAAGGTGATTTACGAGGGCCGAATCCACAATCAATGCATACAGATCTTCCGTGAAAAACAGCTCCACTAAATCAAGGGAAGTATTTAAATTTGCTGTTTCCACCTGAATTCAGGGTTGGGCCGTGAATGGGGGAAGTAATGGTGCTGCAGAATTTGTGGGCTGCCAACTGGGATTTGCAAGCACATCCGGAAGGATACTAGGGGCTCTGGGCCTGTGTGTGAATTCTTGGTGGCTGCGGGCAGGGCTGCTGTTAGAAACCACGGGGCACCATACAGCCAACCTGACAGCCCCCCTCAAACAAAATACATGTTACTATGCTTCATTTAAGAATGAACACAGTGAGTGATCAGTACTGATTTTTCATTGTGTTTATTCAGGATAGGAAGCAGGTTATAAATGTGACACTTCCACGCTCTCCATCCAGAAGGATCCTATTGTGTGCCTGCAGCTGCTGGTGGGAAGGAGAGGAGGGAAGCCGGCAGCACTGCAAGGTAGGGGCACACAGGGGGTCTTGAACAACAGGGGGGACGTATAGTGCACAAAGAGAGTTACAGGTGCAGCAGGGGCAATTACTGGAACCAATCCCCAGTATGGCTCACTCTGCAGCAGCTGAAAGCCAGTGGGAGGGAGAGGAGAAGAAGCCAGCTTTCAGCTGCTGCAGAGAGGACCATACAAGGGATTGGTTCCAGTAATTACCCCCCCACCCCACCATGCTGATCACCCACCCTGCTCACAACCGATTCACCCAGCTGCCTGGGCCCCCCTGCTGCCCTGGGCCCTGTACAGGAGGGCTGGTGGTACCCTTTATCCACGGCCCTGGCTGCGGGACACTACTTGTGCTCACCACCACACCAGCTTGTACTGCACTTATGGGACTCACCGCATCACCAAGTGATACTGCAGTGCTGGTATGTGAATGACCAGGATGTACTAGGTAGCTGGTGCTTGCCAGTTCACCAAAAGGAAGAGTGGCACTAGTACTGGCACTCTGCTGCATATGAGAGTCATCATGCGTTTGTACCACCTCAGCAACCTGGGAACGGGTTAGGGACACCTGATCTTAGCAGGGACCTCTTCTCCATCATCTGAGCTATCTGTCAGGGTGCCACTGCTGTCTACAGGTTTGCATTCTGAGCAGTGAGGCGTCCCCTTCACTCTTACTTGACATACTTAAAATCCTGTAGTCCTCTTCACTACAGTACCTTTCCACTGACATTTTTGATACCTAGCGCGACTCACAGGAAAAAGAGGACCTGGCTGTCAGGGACTGCTTGAACCACTACAAAAAAATTTACCAGCAAGTGCTAACAGATCAGGCCTGTTAGCACTGTGAACACTGCATTCTTGTGTGCAATGTATCAAGTGACAGTGATCTACTAACACTGAACTTGCTGGGGGAGAACGGGGGGGGGGGGGGGGGGGGTTAAGGGTAGGGGCTAAAAGCAGGTGCTGCCAAATGCCAGGGCTGATCCCGCTAATGCTGCATTTTTGGGGTATGCTGGTATAGTGCTGGTCTGATCAAAGATATTGATCCATTCAGACACTATACTATTGTGTATGTTAGCGTGTTCCTGGCAATCAAGGGGTTAAATGTGATTACTGGTGTACTGACGGGCAGTCTGACGCTATCTGGGAGGGGCGCTAACTGACGTTAACTGACGCTAACGCTATCCGAAGTCTCCAGCGACGCTAATACAGTGATCAGCAAAAAAATCTTTACACTGTACTAATGACACTGGTGACAGGGCAGTGAAGGGGTTAACTGGGGGGGGCGAACAAGAGGTTAAATGTGTCTTAGCGTGTTCTAACTGTAATTGTGTGCTGCCTTTACTCATGTTTTGTGTTGGTTTTTCTCTCTCTGGGACAGAATGTGCCCAGAGAGAGAAGATGTAATCACTTCCTGTACCTGTGTAACTGTCAACAAAGGACAGGAAGATCCCTGATAGGACAGGGTTTATTCATCTGACTTGGGCTGGATATCACTGTCCTAAATTGTATGATTGATCCCTCGGGGATCAAATCACAGCACCCACGGGTGGCCCCCTCTGTCCCCCAAAAACCGTGATTTTGCGTACCCGTGCCACTGCGCAGCAGTATATTTGCTATACGGTGGTGTGGAAGAGGTTATTGATACTAAACTCTTATTAAAGATACTATATTAAAAAGGTTGAACTTCCCTGCAGGAGGATGACCATTTTTTATGTCCTTGTGCCAACTCTTTTTTGAAGACATGTGTGAAGACAACCAAACTGAAGTAGCTGAGTTTTTACTTCTTGGATTTCAAAACTTCCATACATTGAAAAGTCTTCTCTTCATTGTGTTTTTCCTATGCTATGTAGTGGCATTAAATGGGAATCTCATCATCATTCTTTTAATTTCGATTAATGACCATCTTAAAATCCCAATGTTCTACTTCCTCAAGCACTTGGCAATATCTGACCTAATATTAACCACCACCATTATCCCAATGATGTTAGAAGTTATACTAAAGGATGGAATTACAATTTCTGTTACTGCCTGCATTATTCAGACGCATTGCTTCACTATTATTGGAATTGTGCAATGTCTACTTATTGCAATTATGTCCTATGATCGATATTTGGCCATATGTAACCCATTGCATTATAATTCAATCATGGATCCCCATATGTGTCTTCAGATGGTTCTTTGGACCTGGTTGTTGGTTGTCTTTGTGTCGGGTGAATTTGTTTTGGTGTATCAGCTACATTTTTGTGGTGGGAATAACATTGACCACTTCTTTTGCGATTCTGGTCCAGTGATAAAGCTCTCTACCTCAGATAGGTCCCTTTTTGTATTAGTTGATCTTATTCTTTCCATTTTAGTTATTTTTCTTCCTTTTGCCTTTATTATTGTGACCTATGTCTTCATCTCCTTCGCTATATTACAACTTTCTTCAACCAATGGAAGATGGAAAGCCTTTTCCACATGTAGCTCGCACCTGACCACTGTGTGCACATATTATGGGACCTTGATGACTATATATTTGACACCATCTGATAAAAGATCACCTAATACAAACAAATTTATGTCTTTCTTCTACATTGTAACAACGCCACTGATGAATCCTATTATCTACAGTCTGAGAAACCAAGAGATCAGAAAAAGCTTTAAAATGTTTTTAAGAAATATTAAAACACTTAATGTACACTGAAGCTAGTGGACTGGAACAAGGGCTTCATAGTCCATGTTAGGTGTCTAGTTTTCGAATCTTTGACTTGATCTTTTAACCATTGTTATTTAGGCATCCAAAGAGGTTAAAGCTGAACTCCGTGTGATTTTGGACTGGATTACTAAGCGGCAGTAGCTTTGTTTTTCTAACAAGTGATTGACTGCAAGCTCTTCGGCTGTTAACTCCTTAGCTAATTATTTTACTTTTTCAACTTCTCTTAGGTTAGAGTTGATTGGAGGAATAGTCACTTAGGGTTTGTTTTGTTTTTTAATGGGGGTGTAATAAAGCAATTGTGTATTTTTGGGGTGGCCATTGGTTTTATTTTGTGATAATAAAGTTTTCTTTTATTTTTGGATAATTAGAGCACAGAAGTTACTGTCCATTTGTTAGCTAACTAATTTTCCTAAGGAATCCAAGCTGAAAATGTTACGTTAAGGTGGATATAAAGTGGCCCCACAATTTGGCAGCAGATAAAACATGCCTAAATGTGAAGACAAAAGGCATACACATGTGTCTTCCCCCAAAAAAATTGCTGCTACAGCCCTTAGATGTATGGAGGGGTAAAAACTAGCAAGTGGTATCACAGTTTAAATGTAGCACCAACAGGCATTAAATCAGAGATTTAAGCCATAGGTTAGTGTCTTTCTGAAAAGAAATTTAAAGCTGGACCCTATATGTTTGAGAAGGGAAAAAAGGCCACTACATTACAATTTGTTGGTGGCACCAACAGGTAAATGCAGAGTCACAAATCACAGGAAGAAGTCTTTCTAATAAAATTCTTACAACTCTCAAGTATGGTTGGGCAAACATTGACCAGTAGCACTACAGTTTAGTGAAGAAATAAGCAAAAGCAGACAGATATTGCACATAGATTTATTAATTAAAAATTGGAACTTTAGCTCTTTATAAAATGCATGTTTTCTTTTTTGTTACACAAAGGAGGAGAAAGAAGACAGGTGCTAGAAGGAGGATAGTTTATTACTAGGCAGCACCATTGATTCTTACAAGAAGTATGACTTGTTTAGATGCAATGTTCAGCAGAGGGATCCCTGCCATCAGGAAACACCACAGTTGGGTGTTTCAAAAGGATATCCTTGAAGTGCAACATTAGACTTCATCTGGGATGGTCAGAGAACATCTGCCATTTTGGCAAAATGAAAGAATGAGCTGGCCACTCTAATATCTGTGTTGAAGTCTTTATTGACTACATGGTAGTGACATTACAAAAGAGCTAACATGCATGGGTGGGTAGCCTTATTCATTACATATGCTATGATTAAGGCTACTCACTGATAAATGTTCACTCTTTTTTATTGTCACTACCATTTAACCAATTAAAACATCAACAGGGATATCAGGCACTTCCTGATGACGATCCATTGATCGAAACCGGTCGAAGTTTGAAGACGCAACTTCTGCTGACGTAATTTCCGCCTTTTGGTACGCATGTTGGAACATTGCAGCCATCTTGGTTCCTTTTCACAGGCAGCAAGGCTGAATACACTGAGTGCCACTGAGTGGTTATGGGCACTTTGCTTGTGAGTTTTATTCTTATAATTTCACCCCATCATTAAAGTTTTTTATGGTTTTACACTATGGGATGTTTGCTCTTGTTACTGTTGACATTTTAAAAAGGCTCTTTTGAAACTACACGGTCATTTATATCCACGCTGGTCATCATCCTATTGGTTACTATCAGCCAGATCTCATGATTCTCAGGAATGAATATTGATGCCATTCTTGCCATCATGCATTGGGCTAGTCCTAAACCAAGTCCTTAAGACCAACCTAGAGATAGGTGGTCCACGGCTAACGGTGAGTGCACATCCATGTGAGGCACCAATTGAACACAGAGGAGCACCTGTCATTTTTTGCACAAAGTTCACCAATTAGTATTCAACACTTGGGCACATTATTTTTTCGAATTTGGACTGAATGTTACAATTATTCACTTTGTATATGTGAAGGATTATTACTCATGTATTGTCAAAATTAATGCACCTAATTTATGCACTGTCCACACAGTATTTTGTTGGGATATCAGAGTTGCTGGCTCTTTCTATCTTATCACATTGTCTGCAGTGGGTGGAGGACACTTAATAATCTTCCTCTCTTTCTGACATGAATGACCCCATATGATACAAATTTCTAAGGTCCCAAATAATTTTGTGTCAATTGAAATACCATGCTCCACCATCTGCTCACCCACTTAAAGTATCCGGGGTTTTTGAAGGTTGAAATGTTGTCCAGAAAAGCCATTACAGCTTTCATCACTCCTACAGTACCCCTATCCTTCATTTCTTCTCCGTGTTTCCTCTCTATTCCAGGAGTGAAATGAGTAGACAAAGAGGGAACTTGCCTAACTTTCTTCTCCACCATTTCCAACTCAGCCACGAAGCGGTAGGCCATGTAAAATGACAGAGCAAGGTCAGCGCATGCTCAAGCACACAGTGTGGAGAAGTCGCCAGCTGTCTACAGAGTCAATAGCTAAAGACCTCCAAACCTCATGTGGCCTTCAGATTAGCACAACAACAGTGCATAGAAAACTTAATGGAATGGGTTTCCATGGCCGAGCAGCTGCATCCAAGCCTTACATCACCAAGTACAATGCAAAGCGTTGGATGCAGTGGCGTAAAGCATGCCCCCACTGGACTCTAGAGCAATGAAGACATGTTCTCTGGAGTGATGAATCACTCTTCTCTGTCTGGCAAGCCAATGGACATGTCTGGGTTTGTTGGTTTCCAGGAGAATGGTACTTGCCTGACTGCATTGTGCCAAGTGTAAAGTTTGGTGGAGAGGGGATTATGATGTTGGGTTGTTTTTCAGGTGTGGGGCTTGGCCCCCTAGTTCCAGTGAAGGGAATTATTAAGGCGTTAGCATACCAAAACTTTTTGAACAAATTATTTGTGGGAAAAGTTTGGGGATAGCCCCTTCCTGTTCCAAAATGACTGCACACCAGTGCACAAAGAAAGCTCCATAAAGACAAGGATGAACAAGTTTGGGGTGGAGGAGCTTGACTAGCCTGCACAAAGTCCTGACCTCAACCTGGCAGAGCACCTTTGGGGTGAATTAGAGTGGAGACTGCAAGCCAGGCCTTCTTGTCTGACATCAGTGCCTGACCTCACAAATGCACTTTTGGAAGAATGGTCAAACCTTCATCACATAGACACCCTCCTAAACCTTATGGACAGCCTTCCCAGAAGAGTTGAAGCTGCTATAGCTGCAAAGGGTGGGCCAACTCAATACTGAACCCTACTGGGATGCCATTAAAGTTCATGTGCATGTAAAGGCGGGCATCCCAATATTTTTTGGCAATATTGTGTGTGTGTGTGTGTGTGTATATATATATACAGGTGAAACTCGAAAAATGAAAAAAATTAGAATATCGTGCAAAAGTTCATTTATTTCAGTAATGCAACTAGAGATGAGCGAATCGAAGTATCCGAAGTGGAATTCGAGTCGAATATCGGAAAAATTTTGATTCGTGCCGAATCCGAAAAATAGCCTAATTCGGACGCGCGAATCGAAATTTTTCAGAAAATGGCGGCTGACATGTGCGGCGACGGAGCGAGGGATGGTCTGGGAAGGCGCAGCATAAAATCAAGGCGCAGCTGGACTCAATAATTGCATTCCTCAACTACATGTGAATCGCGATCAGCCAATCAGTCAGCCAGCCAGCCAGCACTGTGTAATGGTTCGA